AAGGTCTTGCAAAGAACTTGAGATATTGTCTTGTGGATGATAAATATCTCATTGATTTCCACTCTGCAGGCAGAGTGATAAAGTAGTTTGAAGATGAGAATCTGACCGTGGTCCCACCCTTGCTTCAGTATCCTACGGTGTCAAGTGGCTAGTTTTTAGCAGCACTGAAAAGACCCTCCATGAGCCTCTCCAAATGCTTTATCCACATCACAGATCCTTCTTCATCTCAGTTAAATGGCTTCCATGCCATCCTCTCTCCTAGAATGCTTTTTTCCTCTCAGGCTAATCAGAGTCTCAAACCTTCCTCCTTAGCCTTCCCTGGACTAGGTCAGGTCCCCTGCTGTATGTTCCCAAAGGTGCTAAGGACTTTGGGCCAAAGAGTATTGGACTGCACGTGTCAAACTCTCAATGGTATGCTCCCATTTAGGCTGCAAGCTCTGTGACAGGTCAGCCTACTCTCTAGAAAGTAGATGCTCAGTTAACGTTGCGGGGAGAACAAATGAATGCACTGAGTTTTTCAATGGCATACTGGACATTTCCACCTGCATGTCTCCTAGAATGATGAACTCTCCATTTCCAAAACTGGACATCCTCCTCTCCTTACCTGTCCCTTGCCTACATGATTGCACCCCTGCCCAGTTAGCTAGTCCCCCTGACTGGCAAAGTTCTCTGTTGTTCTCCCTACTCAAAACAAAGAAATGCACTTCCTTCTCGTCTCTGCTCAGCAGCTAAATCCTTCCCTTTCATTCCCCCCCCCCTTTTCCTGGCCACCATGCATATGGTATATGAATACCATAGTATTCATATAGGAATACTATGATTCCTACAAAGTATCATACTAGGAAATATATGGATTTTTGACACAAGACAGGCCTAAGTTCAAGTCTTGGGCCTGCTAAAATTGAGTTTCCTTGGGTAAGTTAGTCAGTTCCCTAAGCCTCAGTTCCTGAGTCTGTCAATGGGGATATTTTTATCCACCCTGTAGAGATGCTATGACTTTAGTGTGCTTCAGGTGGTAAATAAATAGTTCTCTTGTTATTTTCACTACATATCAGACATATCCAGCTCAAAAACCTTCAGAGGTTGCTAACGACTTGACAATGAACCCTAAGCCATACATCCTGGCCTTGCCTATTATTACTCCCCCCCACCCCAACTCAAATACTAAACTCTGGGCAATCTGAAATATTGGCTAATTCCGTCACTCTTTCCTCCCTGCTCCCAGGTTGCAGTTCAAACACCAAGCCCTCTCTGATTACCTGAGCGCCAAGGGACTGGCTCCCTCCTCTGAAGTCCTACACGCAGTTCAGTGGGAATTGAGCAAGGCCACCTGTTTTGTTTGCAGACTAGGCAACTCTCCTCTGGCTTGCAAACTGCTGAAAGCAGAGGCTTTGATGGGTTCATCTATTCCCTCCCGTAGCGCCTTGCACGGAGTTGATGCTCAATAAACACTTGGTTTTGAAAGAATCATTCATTTTCCTTATTCCAATGGGTTGTTTCCTCTATAGAATCGCATGTTTAGTTATTCTCATCTCAGCACTATTTTGTTGGCTTCCAGGGAGAACATTGCCATTAGATACGTTCTGTTCTCTTTAATTATAAAGAGCTTTTGGAACTCAAAAATATGAGTTACTTCTTCAAGCCTCATCTACAGCTCCCCGTACTTACCCACCCCGTACAGGAATCAAATTACTTAGCATTGAACAGAACACGACTCTATCACGCTTCCATTCCTTGTACATACGTGCTGTTCCCTTTCCCTGGAAGGCGCTTACCTTGACCTCTCTGTCTGGTGAGCTCGTGGTCCTCCAAGATTCAACTCAAACATCACCTCTTCAGGGAAGGCTAATCTGAGATGGAGTAGCGGTCCTTCCTCCCATCTTTTTAGCTTACTCAGCATTCCCCCCAATAATTCTGACATGACATATGACTTTTTTTTTGTTTACTTTTCTTCCCCTACAGACCTTGAATTCCTTGAGGGCTAGGATTTCTGTTTATCGTTGTACCTTCTATATCTAGCACCTATGCCTATACCTACGCTTGGCATATATCAAACACTTGATTAGATCAACGAGCAAAGAATATATTCGTCTAACACTGCAGTTTGGGCCAGATTCTCAAATATTTCAAAACCTGGTCCTCTATTTGGAGTGCTTCATGCTAGACGGAGATTTCCGCGTCCCACTTACCACCTCCCCCAACTGCCTCGGTTTGTGGCAAGAAAAGAGAAGTGATTAAGGTGTGGCGAAGAGTTATTCCTTCAGGGCTGAGCTGTAATTTACCTTCCCTCGGAACCGAAAGGGTTACAGCGACCCGGAGGCGGAGCCACGCCGGTGCCACCTGCTGCGGGGCGGTCCTGCGCACGCGCCTGGGCTGTTAGATGGTGGCTACCTGCGGAGCCCGGGCGGAGGAGGAGGAGCGCTTGCGCTCTGCGCCTTTTCCGCCGGGGGAAGTCTCGCGGGGGCGGGGCGGGGCGGGGCCGCGCGGGGAAGTTCTCGCGGGACCCCGACGAGGAGCGGAAGCCAGGCGGCTGTGCTGCTTCGGCGAGCGGGCGGCGGCGGCGGCGAAGAAGACTGGAAGCGGTGACGGCGACGGGCACAGGCGCTGCCCTAGGGGAGCAGCGGCGGGGTCGGTGGCCGCTCGCACCGCTGCAGAGGGGCCGGCCGGGTGCGGAGCGGAGCAGCTGCGCCACGGTGAGTGCGGCCGGCGGCCACGGCGCTGCTCCGGTGCCTCTTTCCCCCCCGCTCCGCAGCGGTAGTCGGCCCGCGGGGACCCGGCCCAAGCTTGCCGAGGGCTGCCAGGGCTCGGGTTCCGGGCGGCGAGGCCTGCGGCGGGGGACGGAGTCCCCGGGGCTCCCGAGACCGCGTTTCCCCTTTTGGAGCACTTCCTTCCTGGGGACCGTCCTCCCCCGGCCTTTGGCTCGGGGCAGAGCACCGGACCCTGGGGTAGGAGCCCGGGGGCTTCTAATTAAATTCCATGCTGTCTTCGGGAGGGTTTGCGCAGAAGGGGCCGGGGAGCACCCCCAGAGCCCTGGGTACTCATTCTGTGAGTCAGTCTGACTTGGCCCGGGAGGCGGGGGATTCGCAGCAGCTGCAAATGTGGTGATTGATGCTCCTTCGACCTGCACGGCCACCACGTCACCATCTCCTAGTGTCTTTTGGCCGAACCTGGGGAGGGAACCCACCCACTCTCCGAAAACCGTGAGAACCTTTTGCTCCTGGAGCCTGTTGAGATGCGTTTACGTCTGTCGCTTTTCTTTTTATTTTTTTTTTCATCTGTCTTTTCTTTTTTTTTTTTTTTTTGAAATTACTCCCTGAAAAATTCTTGTGAAGAACAACAAGCAGCAGTTGGTTCACATGCTCCGAGGAAAGATGTCAATGCGAGAGGCTAGAAAAGCGCTGGTACTTTCCATTTGCCACGCTCCTTTAAGCATAAACCGTAGGAGCTGTAGCTTGTTTAGGGAGTTATTCTAAAACTCCGATTTGCAGAGGAGCCCAAGTGCACTCGGGGTCTATCTCTTGGCTCTGTTGACTCAGAAACGAGTCTAAAAGACACATGAAAGAAATTAGCATAGTCAATTTGGCTTTCCTGTCTCACTCTTTCACTTCGCACTTGTCTAGTACTTGCCTTTCCCTTCTCTCTATTCCACTGCCTGCACTAACTAAATGCTTACTCGTGTAATGCAAGTCATTTGCTCCCGTCCTCCCCCCACCCCCGTCCCCGTTTTTTTTTCCCCTAATCTACTTCCCCTTCCTCCTTTTTGTCCCCCTCTTGGGCATAATTTTTTCGAGGTTTCTGACCTTTGGTGCAATTCGTATTCTCCCTCACTTAAGGAGTCCGTTTTCTCTCTGGGGAAGATACCCTCTTTCTTCCTTTATGGGTTCCTTCAGTCAGCCAGGAGAGTTGCCAGAGAACCTTGCTTAGACTTTTAAGTTCTCCCCCTGGGAACTGGGAGGCTCAGAGGATTGAATTCATCCGTAAGTAATCAATACTGCCTCTAGGTTGCAAGCGTAGCTTGCTTGTGTTATTTGCGTTTTAGTTGTTTTCTTCATTTTAACTTTGGGCTGTTGTGACTGCTGGCTTTTTTCTTCTTAGGTCTCTTTTATGTTAGTAAAGAAGATTGGGTCAATTTGGGGCTCGTTTGACTTTAAAAAAAATTTTTTTTCTTTAATGTTTATTTTTGAGACAGAGCAGGAGCAGGGATGGGGCAGAGACAGACAGAGACACAGAATCCAAAGCAGAGTCCAGACTCTGAGCTGTCAGCACAGAGCCTGATTTGGGGCTCGAACTCATGAACCGAGAGATCATGACCTGAGCTGAAGTCAGAGGCTTGACCCACTGAGCCACCCAGGTGCCCCTCATATGACTTCTTTTTGGCTCTTAGCGGCAAGTGGTTAATGTTAAAAAACAAAACCCCAATCATAGACCTATGTATTACAAAAGAATTGAGGTAACGTGAAATATTTAAGGGAATGGAATTTATCTAGATCACTGATGAATTAAAACTTGCCCATCATGATAGTATGAATTCTTTACCAGGGTTCTTTTAATTAGCCATCTTTGTTATTGTTGTTGCTGGGCTTTTTCTGACAGAATGGGATAATTTGTGTTCCATTGCTCCTTCCCTTGTTCAAAATTTTCTGAATTCCCAAGATGAAAAACGAAGTTAATTCTTATAATCGGCTTTCTTTGATACTAAGAGCAAGCATTTAAATGCTTGAGGGAGTTCACTTCCTTAGCAAGTGTATTGAGATTTGAGGGATTGCTAAGTTTTATTTATTTTTTTTTTATTTTTTTTTTTTAATGTTTTATTTATTTCTAGGAGAGAGAGAGAGAGACAGCGTGAGCAGGGGAGGGTCAGAGAGAGAGGGAGTCACAGACTGAAACAGGCTCCAGGCTCTGAGCTGGCAGTCAGCACAGAGCCCGACGCAGGGCTCGAACCCACGAACCGCGAGATCATGACCTAAGCGAAAGTTGGACGCTTAACCGACTAAGCCACCCAGGCGCCCCAAGGGATTGTTAAGTTTTAAATACCACCAGTTGATGGGACTTAGCAATTTTTCTGAGAAAAATCTCTGTTGCCTGTTGGGCTGCAGCAGTTCTGGTTATTACCTAGAACAGAAGAGTAATAGATTTTGGAGAAATTAAATAATACAGAATAGAGACCCACCGTGCTCTGCTGAGAGAAATTGATAGTTACTTACTTCAGAAGAACTTTCCGGCACTCCTGAATGGCTATTGGGAGTCTTTGGTTTTATTTGTCAAAGTTGGTGTTTTCCTAGTTGAGCCAAGTGAACACGCATTATTTTCATTTTATGCAAAGACCTTGTAGTGCATTATCTGGAATGCAAAGTTTAAAATCTGGTGAAGGCACCTTTCTAGTATAGCAGTGATTCTTAAAATTTAGCGTGCGTAAGAATTACCTGTGAGTCTTACTTTACTTTAAATCAGGCCCCGGGCCTAAGGCCCTTACATTTTGCAGAACTCCAGAAGGCACCCCACAGTCCATCAGTCTCTGAATAGGGCGGTTTTGAAGCTCCTGGTCCAAGGACCAAAACTGTTGCTACAGAACGCAGCTGGAAAATAATGAGGGTGGAATGCGGCTTTCAATTAGTCCATTTAAATCACACATTCTGTATATACAAAGAGAACATTTAAAAGCCAAACAGAATAACTGATGATAGATTTGATTAGTCTTTATGCACATACGTATGCGAGCATTATTAGGACTGTGATGTGGAGCAATTTAATTTTAAAGTTTATACTTAATAGGGCCGTTAATTTGCCTACCAGAATGCTCTTCTAAGTGTACGTAGATGGAAGAAGATGGACGACCTAAGAATAAAATGGACTGGTATTTCAAAAGGTACTGGTGATACTAGCCAGTTAACACTTCCTAGCACTTGTGCCAGAGACTCTGTGAAGTCCTTTACACATGCAATCTCTTTTTTTTTAAGATTTAAAAATTTTTTTTAAGTTTCTTTTTTAAATGTTTTTTATTTCTGAGAGAGAGAGAGTGTGTGAGCAGGGGAGGGTCAGAGAGAGAGGGAGACACAGAATCTGAGACAGGCTCCAGGCTCTGAGCTGTCAGCACAGAGCTCGACGTGGGGCTCAAACCCACAAACCGCTAGATCATGACCTGAGCTGAAGTCGGTCGCTTAACCGACTGAGCCACCCAGGTGCCCCTTTAAGTGTTTTTTATACCCATCGTGAAGCTCAAACTCAACCCCGAGATCAAGAGTAGCACGCTCTACGCTCTACTGACTGAACCAGCCAGGCACCCCATGGGCTATTTCTTTTATTCATAAAAATGCCCTTATAAGGTAGATGCTGTTAGTCCCATTTTCCAGCTGAGGGAAACAAGGAATTAGAGAATATAAGTAATTTCTCTAGCGTTCCCCATCTACTCCAGTGGTAAAGCGACAGTTGAATCCAGGTCTGACTCCAGAGCACCAGTAAGATTTTGGTATTTGTTTTCTCTTTTCTTTTTTCTTTTTTTTTTTTCTGTTTAGTTTATTTGGGGGGGGGCGGAGTGTACACGTGCTTGCGTGTGCACGCACACAAATGGGAGGGGCAGGAAGACAGAGGACAGTTGATCTGAAGTGGGCTCTATGCTGACAGCAGAGAGCTCAATGCAGGGCTCGAACTCATGAACCCAGGTGCCCCACTGTTTGTTTTTTCTAACTACGAAAGTAGTGATGAAAATACAATTGAGGCATATAGTGCAGAAAGTAAAAATATTTTGTGATCTTCCTCCTAGACATTATTATTCTTAACCCTTTGATTTTTTTCTTTAGCACATGCTGATAAGTAATGTTTTGCTTTACAGAAATGGGGTAAACAAATTTTTCTTCATTTTTGTTTTTAACTTGATAGTATCTTTTAGTATTTATATAGAAAGGTATTTCATAGATATTCTCATGGTTATTGATAGGTATATGTATTTTGCACATGGTATTTGTCACTATTTCAGCGAGATAAATCTAGGAAATGGAATTGCTTGTTCAAGGGTAATGTATTTTTAAATTGTCAGTAGATACTATAAAATTACTTTCCGAAAAGATTGAACTGATTAATTTCTTGCTACAGTGTGTGCTCTGTGATGGTTTTATTATTATAATCCAATACGAAGCACATTGTCAGGCATATAGTAGCCGCTCAAATTGTTAAATGGATGAACATTGGATAAAGAGTCTGAGAGTCTGTTCACCCAGAGTATTGCAGAGCCTAAATATTATAAACCTTTAAAAAATTGGCCAACTAGTGGGTGAAAGAAATCTCATTGTTGTAATTTGCAGTTTCTAATAGTGAAGTTGAACATCTTCTATGTTTTAGGTGGAATTAACATTTTAACTTGTTTTGAGTGACTTAATGTCGGGCCCTGTCCAAAGCACTTCACGTATATTATCTATATTACCTAATTTAATGATGGATGAATCTTATAAAGTAGGTGATACTATCCCCATTTTACAAATGAGGATAGTATCATTAACAACTGAACCAAATGGGACTTGTTTAAAAGGCTTGACACCCCCCCTCCCCAAGGGCTTGACCATAATTATAGCTGGTAAGTACCAAGGTCATTAGTTGAACCCAAGTCCGCCTGCTTTTAGAGACCATGAAGCCTTAACGCTAAGCGATACTGCCCACTGAGTGTTGTGTATTTTTATTTTTTGTAAATTTGGGGAAGAAAAGATTTAAATGGAAGGAAAACTAAAATCCTACAAATACCTTTAAGAGACTGCATTTTAGAATTCAGTGACATTGCTTGAAATGAATGATTCAAGCTGCACTTGTGTCCTTAGAATTTGCTGCGTGTGTGATGGACTGAAGGGTGTATGCTGGAACAGTTTTCTCATCAGGGTTCAGTGTACTCTCCACCCATCTTCTCTGTTGAAATCATTATACATTGTGTCCACTTTCAGCTTTCTTCCTTTCAGTCATTAGTGTTGTGTATGAGATAGTTTTCTTTGTCTTTAATGAAACACACCCCATTGAATAGCCTGTGTGCCCTTTTCTGTGGCTAGCCTGATATGCTGACCCCTTCAGGTCTTCTCCGTGAGCTGCTAATTTTTATTTGGCACAGCCACAGAAGTCTTGATTGTGCCTGGTTTTCAGTTCTCTCAAACTGTATCTCACAAAGTAGTAGTTACTTGAAACATGATTTTCAAGAGTGTTAGTCTGTTTATGCTTTCTCTAGGAAACCTGTGGTAGATGAGTTGGGTAACAGGAAAACCAGTTTTGAAAGCTGTCTTGGTTTTATTGCTGCTGCTGTTCGGTTATACTGCAGTTGTCTGAAATCCCTAATAACATAGAAGTTTGCACCCTGTTACAGCATAGTACCTTGACATTGATAATGCTTTGAGTTTCTGATTTTCTGATTTCTCTTTTTCAAAAATGTAGCTCCTTATTGTTAGATCTGCTCAGTTACTCTTCAGCTTCCCATCATTGATACATGGTTCCAACAGACAGCCTTGGAGACCAATGAAAATAAATGATCAGGTCTGGTATAGAAAACATTGGGGCGCCTGGGTGGCTCAGTTGGTTAAGTGTCTGACTTCAGGTCAGGTCATGATCTCACAGTTCACGAGTTTGAGCCCCGCATGAGGCTCAGTGCTGACAGCTCAGAGGCTGGAGCCTGCATCGGAATCTGTGTCTCTCACTCTCTCTCTGCCCCTTCCCCTCTCATGCTCTCTCTCTTAAAAATAAATCAAAACATTAAAAAAAAAAAAAAAGAAAACGTTGACAGACATGAAGCAGAGATTTTGAAGCCTTTGTAAAAAAAATAAAAATAGGTACATACATTGGAAAGCAGTCAAAAAAGGAAAAGCAGTTGTTTTGCCTAGAAAAAGTAAAGGATTATACTAGAAAGGAAGTTTGGTTGTAATATATTTAAGTCAGCAGTGAAGACTATTTTGTAATGTGAAACTCTGCTTAAACCGGAATATGTGGTATTACTGGGATGGGGCAAGGGGAAACTGTCAGGGTGAACGTCTTGCAAGCAATAGGTCATGGCTGGAATAAATTTAAAAACACAGTAGAAGCGCATTATTTAGAAATATTGTAAGTAAGTGCAAAAAGAAAGCTAAAATGAGAATGATTGCTTGTAGGTGTTGGGGTGGGGAACTCCCCTTTTTTTTTTTATAAGCCTTTTAAAAGTTGTGACTTTCAAAATTATATACATGGATTAGTTTGATTTAAAAAAAAAAGTTAGAATACATAAAGGGTGTTAAAGGACACAAAAGTAAATACTTTGAGGGGCGCCTGGATGGCTCAGTCAGTAGATCATGTGACTCTTCATCTTCGGGTCTTGAGTTCGAGCCCCATGTTGGATATAGAGATTACTTAAGAAAATGTTAAATATTGAGACCAATATTTGTATTTTTTTATATATGCTAGAGCTCTCCCTTTACTTTCTTCTCTTAGAGCCATGGGATATCATGGCCTGATAGAATAAACATTGGTTTGGTTGATTAGTTTACCTGCAGTAGAATGTTTGTTTGGCTTTCAGAATTTGACTAAAGGACTTTTTATTCCCAGGTGATTTCTTTCTTCTTTGGTAATACTCATTTCCTTCTAATCTTAATATTCCCAGCTGGCTTACTGCTTAGTCCTTTTGCAGCTATGCCTGATTAATGCCCCAATTGTTAACTTTAGAACAAAAGAATGATAATCACCCGTGCCCCTCAGATGAGCTCTCTGCTAGGTGGTAATTATCCAAGAAGGGTGTCACTATAAATAATCTGTCTCCATTCTGCCAGTGTCCCTGTTGTTTTCTCCTTTTATTTAGCCTGTATGAAAACAGTAACTGAAAACAGGAATGGGGCTTTGTTTTCCTTTAGTTACGCAAAGGTCTAGATCGTGTCCCTATTCGTGACTGGGGATTTTCTTACAGCAGTGATTGTACTGCCCACAGTTCACCATCGCCTAGTACACTACCTGAGGGTTATTACAGAATCTTTACCTGCAGAAATGCAGTTTGGTTCATTTTAGTACTCCTCTGGCGCTGACAAAAGCAGCTGTTCTGTTAAATGGAGAGACTCCTGTTAGATTTCCTGGCACCATCTCCCTGCACTTTTCTTTCCCCAGATGAGACATATGGCAGCTCAGATTCGGAAAAAGGGATTCCTTTCAAGTGTAGTTAGGACTTCAGCTTTGCTCCTTAGGGGACTTAGAAGTGATGTGGAAGCTACTTCTGGAAATGCTTAACTTTCGACCTCTGTTTCAGGGGCTCTTTGGGCTCCAAGCCTTGGGGGTCTTCAGGGGAGAGGGAGCCTTAGGCAAGAGCAGGTCTTCAACAAAAGGCTCTGACGCTGGACTCCTGTGTCTGCTTACCCAAGCTTGCCGATCAGTTTGGAAGTGATGGAGAGCTGGCTTGCTCAGAATAGCAAATTGAATGTTAAAAAGTAGTTCCTAGGTTCACTTTGACCTGCTTTCCTAGGAGCCGACCAAGGTTAGTTTCTGAGAACAGTTAAAACAGCTGAGAACCGAAGCCGGAATTGCTTGCTTTTGACTGGGTAGGGGACCGAACGTTTTCGGAAGACCAGAAAGGTCGGCAGAGAGAAAGGAAGGAGATAGGCCTGTGTACCCGGGAAAACCTGGGTGCCGTCCCCAGGGCGAGGCCTTTCTTTGGGTGGACTGCATTTCGGGCTAGAGGAGCAGAGAGTGCAAACTGCGAGGGAGGAAAGGCGGAGACCGAAAGGGTCCTCAGCCGGTTCCTGCACACCGCGCACACCCAGCGGGGAGGAAGAGGAAGTGTGGGCGGGAGTAGCTCGAGCGCCTGCCGCCATTGGCCGGCGGGCCTGTCAGTCGCCTGGGGGCTGAGACTGCGAAGAGGAAGGAGGCGATCGGGGCTCCTGCATGCGAGGGAGGGAGGCGGGCCGAGCCGGGGGGCGGGGGGGCGTGGGGGCTGGGGCGGCAGGCGGATTGGCAGGGCGGGGCCGCCTTCGGTGCTGGCCACTTCTCTCAATCATCCCTCTTGTGATTCAGGGCGGCATTGTGTGTCCCGGAGTGCACGAGCCAGTCCCGAGAGAGCGGCGAGGCCGAGCCCAGGGCGCTGGGTGGCTTCAGCAGGGAAGACTCCCTTCCCCCGGCTTCAGGCTGCTGAGCACTGAGCGGCGCTCAGAATGGAAGCCATCGCCAAATATGACTTCAAAGCTACTGCTGACGACGAGCTGAGCTTCAAAAGGGGGGACATCCTCAAGGTAAGTGTGATGCCACGCAGATGCTGAGATGGCCTCCCCTTGTACTCCCCTACCTCTGTTTACCCTGATAACACACAAAGAAGCCGAGCTCGTCCTTTCTGGTTGCCCACTTTTGACCATTTACCATCGGGGCGCGCTCTGGATAGCGGAGATGGATGCTGAGTGGAATATTAAATATGACTTAAGACGGTTGATGTGATGTATGGTGTTTAACTGCCTTTGTGTGAATGCCTCCAGTGTTTCTGTTTGCTTGTTGTCTGCAAGTAAAATCAAAGCAGCATGATTGTAGCAAGGAAGTATAGGAGTAGACCGATTTATCTTGCACAGTTTTAGTATTAGGGGATTATATATTTTTTTAAGACCCAAACTTGAAGTATTTATGTAAAAGCACTCAATTAGTCTTACATAGTCAAGGTTTCTGCATTCTGGAGCATGATGCTAGTGGGTTAGAAATTAATTTCCTCTAGTTTTGAGAAGTGGTTAGAAGTATATGCCAGAACTCATTAAAGAACCTCAGTGTATTTTTATCTTTGTGAGATAACTAGTGGAGTTCTAAATCCTAAGGTTCGTTTCGTTGTTGTACGAGTCAGATGGAGATTTTCTGAAGAGAAACTTGAGCAATTACCCTGTATTAAACTCTAATTGCACAGAAGAAACCTGCTGACAGTTTAAAAATCAGCTTCTTTACAGTTTGCAGCTCATTCTGAGCCCAAACTATTTACACGAGGATTCACTTTCCACCTGGCACATGGTAATTATGTTGTTTACCCAATTGACGGCAGCAGCTTGCCCTTTTGGGTATGTAATTTATTTTTACAAGGGTGGGTGTTATCGAATAATGTGTCAGCTCTGCAGGAGGAGAACCTGAACTAGAGCGTTTGCATATTCACATATGCATATTCGGTGCATATTCACTTTCGACATTTTTTCCTCTGAGCCTACTCTAATGAGGGGGGGGGGGGCTTGCCACCAATTTGTTTACTACCCCTGAATGAAAATTACGAGAATTTCACAAAGAGGAAGACAGTGGAAATGTAGAAATATGATCCCCTATAAAAGGACTGTGTGTGTGGGAAACTAAAAACAAGGGGGAGGCTCCTGGGTGGCTCAGTCTGTTATGTGTCCAACTTCAGCTTAAGTCATGATCTCACAGTTAGTGGGTTTGAGCCCCACATGGGGCTCTGTGCTGACAGCTAGCTCAGAGCCTGGAGCTTGTTTCAGATTCTCTCTCTCTCTCTCTCTCTCTCTCTCTCTCTCTCTCTCTCACCTTTCCCTGCTTGCGCTGTCTCTCTGAAATAAATAAAAACAAAACAAAACAAAAAGACTGGGGTTTTTTGTTTTGAGTCCTGCGGACCTGTGGGTAGCTATTTTAGTCTCCTTGCCAGAGGCACAGAATTCACCTCTGAAGGTGAATTTAATGTTTTTATTTATTTTTTGAAAGATAGAGTGTGAGCAGCGAGGGGCAGAGAGAGAGAGTCTCTCTCTCTCCCCCTTTTCTCCCCCTGTCTCCAGACCCTCTCTCCCCCGAAGCAGGCTCCAGGCTCTGTCTGCGCTGTCAGCACAGAGCCTGACGTAGGGCTCGAACTCACAAGCCGCAAGATCATGACCTGAGCCAAAGTTGGACACTTAACCAACTGAGTTAACCACACGCCCCAGTAGTTTCTTGATCTTAGGTTGTACTTACTTCATAGAAGGTGATATTGAAGAGCCCTTGAAAGAGAAGGAAAGTGTGTTCTTTTCAGAGCCGATTTTGTGATGCCAAGCTTTCTGAGGGTATTCTCCAAGTCAGCACTGAATTGTCAGCAGACAGATCCAGCTAGGTTTTTTTTTTTTTTTAATTTTTTTTTTTATGTTTTATTTATTTCTAGGAGAGAGAGAGAGAGACAGCATGAGCAGGGGAGGGTCAGAGAGAGAGGGAGTCACAGACTGAAACAGGCTCCAGGCTCTGAGCTGGCAGTCAGCACAGAGCCCGACGCGGGGCTCGAACCCGCAAACCGCGAGATCATGACCTAAGCAAAAGTCGGACGCTTAACCGACTAAGCCACCCTGGCGCCCCAGATCCAGCTAGGTTTATAGGGTAACCTACATGTTCTGTTTCTGTTTTCTTGGCTAGAAGTCAGAGCAAAGGAGTAGACATAACTTGAGCTGTTAACTTACTCTTTCATTGGTGTACAGAGTAATTCGATGTTTTCATAGGTGATTACAGTTTTCTACAGATAACCAGCTTATGGTATCATCAGAAGATTGGCTACTCAAATATTGTACTCCCGAAACCAATGTAACAGTGAACGTTAGCTATAATGGAATTTTAAAAAAGATTAGTTCAAGTACCCACATCTGTTGTCCATATGAAACCCTGTGGGGCCATTCCCCCCCCCCCCCCCCCCCCATGCAAACTTAGATTTCTCCATTAAGCTTACCCAAGAAGCTTGAACCTAGAAGCCTGGTAGTTCGTATTTTCCTCTGTGTTTACCCCATTACATATTTAGCACTAAAGCAACAAAAGTAAGGATTTGAGGTCTGTTTTTAAGAGTTTTTAGGCAAGAACTTTTCCCTGATTATTAACACTGAAGTTTATCCTAGACCTAGACTATGAGAATTATGTAAGTTCTCCAGCTTCAACTGGTAAGGTCATGAACAAGTGTGAAACCCTTCTCTCCCATCCTATAATTAGAGAAGAGGGTACTGTTTAACATTCCCCCAGAAATTGTTCTGTTGGAAGAGAAAGTGAGTCAGAGTGCTCACATTTACTTTCAGATTTTCTTTGGGAAGAGAAAAATACATATATTTGGTTCTTTCCAATTTGGTAGATAACTGGCATATGAAGTCATAATGTCATTATTACTTTTGAATGGTGACCGTTAGCTGTTTGTCTGTTTGTTAGTAATCTTGTGGCTTTACTCCAAAAAGAAAAAAAAAAAAGAGTGCCCATACAGTAGTTGCCCTTTGTCTCATGATTCTGTGGAACAGCTGAGTGAAGAGGAGGGACATTGCTTTGTCTTAAGAGCTGTTATTTTAAAAAGCAGTGTTTTCATCATTTGATTATTCAGGGAGTAACTGGTTTCATTTGAGTGGCTTTGATTTGATTTGATGGCTCTTAAGGATGTTAGTTATGAGCCAAAGCATGTTTATAAGTTGGCTGGAATAGCATTGACCAATTGGACTTGATTGAAATAGGGCTATATTTATCCTCTTTTGCTAAGGGATATGTGTGTGTGTGTGTGTGTGTGTGTACATGTGGGTATTGAATACATTTTTTTGAAGATGATGCAGTAGAAAGGGGCTTAGCCCTTTGCCCCTGACTAGAGTTCAGAAGGGTTACGCCCTCCCGCTGTCTTGGAATGCCTGGTTAACCTTGGTTCACGTGGACCCCGCCCTCCAGCAGACCACTTTACTTTATTTAGGTCTACACGTTGACTCCTGCTGCTCTGAGAAGAGAGAGAAAAATGAAAGCATTTCACCGGAAGCCTAAAATAGAACTGAATGCTTCAGTATATCTCCTTTGTTACTGTCCCTCTTCTGCTTTTTTTTTTGGAGGGGAGGAGAAGAAGGGCACTGGGGCATAGAAATGGAAGGGATTGCCCTTCTGTTGCAGGTTTCAGCCTTGTATGGCTGAAATGAACCTAAATTTCCCTACCATTGTAGTGCAGGCTTCAGACAGTCCCAGGGGTTCTCCACCAGACAAGGGCGCCTGAATCCTCCCCGCTACGGCACATAACACATCCGAGCTTACCTCCGCCGTACATCTGCTGTTCTTCAGGCAGTGCTGCGTACAGATTCAGACCATTTTGAGCTCTCAAATCTGTGCTCATTCCGTTCTAGAGTTGGTGGCTTTTCTTTGCTATAAAGGCAGACCTTTGATTCTAGAAAAGAATCAACAGTGGATCATCTAGGTGTCTTCTACTTGTCTGGCACTAACTACCTTTATCAGTTTTCAAGACTTTTTTACAAATTGCTCTTGAGGGGTACCTGGCTGGCTCAGTAGTAGAGCATGTGACTCTTGATCTCTGGGTTGTGAGTTCAAGCCCCACATTGCGTGTAGAGATTACTTAAAAAATCTTTTTTTTTTTTTTATGTCTTATTTATTTCTGAGAGAGAGAGCGAGCAAGCGAGCGTGAGCAGGGCAGGGTCAGAGAGAGACAGAGACACAGAATCTGAAGCGGGCTCCAGCTAGCTGTCAGCACAGAGCCCTACGCGGGGCTCAAACCCACGAACCGTGAGATCATGACCTGAGCTGAAGTCAGCACTTAACCAACTGAGCCACCTAGGCGCCCCTAAAAATAAAAAATCTTAAAAAAAAGAAGTAGGTCTTGGCTTCACACTCGGCTCTTTGAAGCGTTCTGTTTTCAGAACGTGCAGGTGACCATGTTGTGATGTCACATCTACTGAGCATCTTGAGCCACTCCCTGGGATAAGTTGCTTTGAGAGTTGAGGAAGAAAATACAGGTTATACTTTCCTCCCTTCAGGACCTCTAAAATCACATAAGAGAAGTGAATTTATTGTGTGAAACAGGGTATGGCAGTATACAAAATTAGAGGATTTTTAGAACAGGTGAGGACCTTCAAAAATAAAAGATTTTATTTTTTAGATGAGGAAGTAGCCCGCAGAGGTTAAATGATCCATCCAAGATCACAACTTAGCACTTATTAAGGAACTGTTTTTTGTTTGTTTTTAAGTTTATTTACTTATTGGGTGGGGGGAGGGCAGAAGAGAGAGAATCCTAAGCAGGCTCCATGCTCTCAGTGGGGCTCAAATTCCCAAATCATGAGATCATGACCTGACCCGAAATCAAGAGTCTGGCTCCACCGACTGAACCATCTAGGAGTCCCCGTAAGGAACTGGTATTTAATGGAATGCTGAGTTGTGTCACACACTGTGACTGCCAGAGTAATAGTGTAGGAAGGGCAGAGATTGCTAAGAGCTGAAGTCTGAGAATCCTCTGTGGACGGAGTGTGACTTGAACCTGACCTCGTGAGATGGTGAGGGGGCATGGGTGCTTGTGTTGGAGGTAGGAATGCTAGAATGGGGTTGTGGATTGTGCCATAGTAGAAAAGGTGGAATTGGAGCAAGATAAGAAAAAAACAGTAAGAATTTGATCTTGTTCTTAAGCCTTTAGAGGCCTTTTAGCTGATGAGGGAGGTGTTCTGTGATAGGAGGGAAGCCTGGAGCCCCAGCCTGGAAAGTTGCATTTAACCGCCTGTGAGTCAGGTACCACCGTAGGTGTCAGAGGCCAGGAACGAAGGTCAGGGGTGGATGGCGTTGAAAGATGCTGGGGGGAAAATAATGGGATTTCTGCCTGTCTGCTGGGGATGTTCGGAATAAATCCTTGTAGCTCAGAAAAGAATGGCTACTGAGCTGTTCCTGAGAGGCAGGAATCTGACCTGGGCTTGGGTCGGTAATAGTTTTCACCACAGCTTGAAGTCCTGAGTTTGGATACAGGAGTTTCATTTCACGTGTTTGAGTGATTGAATTTAGACATAGGGTGGGGTTTCAAAGTACTTAGTAAGTACTTAGTAAGGAATTGTTTCAGATTCCTAGTATCAGTCTGCTTGGTAGAATCGTTTCTCTGCCTGTTGATAAGAATTCTTACTGATCTTGTTGACTAAAACCAGAATTTTGCATTTATGAATGGGGATGATTTGAATTCTCTTAGAACAAATAATTTGTTTGCCTTTGACTATACTCCTTTTTCCCCCTGGCATCCGATGTTTCCAAATAGGGGCAAAGAAGGAGATTTCAGTTCCTATACAGGACTCCTTTTGGGGGCCTGGATGAAGACCAGTCATCCCTGTTTAGAGAAAGAAATGAGTAAGGAACTACAGTGTTCCTTTGGGGGTTTTTCGGTTTTCACCTTTGTAAGCCATTATGGTTGAAGTCACACTTTAATACTACCATTTATGGAACATTTACTATGCCACAAAGTCATGCATTATTTCTAGTTTGGGTAGAAGGTTGGCCCTCGTTAGCCTCATCTTACACCTGTAGAAACCGGCTCACAAGTGAAGTAACTTGCTCAGGTTCACACATGTGTTAAGTGACAGCTGGGGCTTGATCTCGGGTCTGGCTGCAGTGCTCCCTCCGCAGTGCATTACTGCTCCTTTTAACTGTCCGGTGTGAGGAAACCAGAAGTGTGAGGTATCAGCAGGCCTGCTCTGCTCACCTGCCCGGCCTGGGCAGCCGGCTTGTGGCACTGCTTCTGCTGAGTGACTTATTGGACATCCTGTCTAAAGTAAATTGACTTCAGTAGTGAAAGAAGTGGAGAAAATGAGGTCATTTTGCCTGTCAGATTAGCAAAATGATAAAAACTGACCACACCCTATGTTGGCCAGGGTGTGGAGAAATGGGCTCTGTCACCTTCTGCCAATGGAGGTTTGTACCGATAATACAGTTTTTCTTAAAAACAATTTTTTTAAATGTTTACTTATTTTGAGAGAGAGACAGTGCAAGCACGGAGTAGAGAGAGAAAGAGGGAGACACCGAATCCAAAGCAGGCTCCAAGCTCTGGCTGTCAGCACAGAGCCCAACATGGGGCTTGAACTCATGACCTGAGCCAAAGTCAGACTCTCAACCAACTGAGCCGCCCAGGCACCCCAGTAATACAGTTTTTCTGAATGGTGGCTTGGTGATATCCATCAGAACATGAAATGACCCAACAGTTCTACTTCTAAAAATTTATTCTAAGAAAATTCTCAGACAAGTTTTTTTAAATGTAGACATAGGATATTTATTTCAGTTAATATAGGTACCACCTGGAAAATAAGTTTTTTGTAGTTAAATTATGAAATATGCATTTCAGGGATGTTAAAATGTGTAAAAAGAGACATCTTTGAATTGATGGAATTAAGCATATTACCAAAAAAACAAACAACCCCAACCAAAAAACCCAAAACCTAAGTAGCCCATGAGTGGGACACTACATAAGTGGGTTATGATGCCTGTGAGATGGAATGCTGTGAAAGCGTTCGTGTTGGTGTAAATCTATGTCAACACACAGTGTCTACACTTGGCACAGAGAAGTGTTTAAATGGATTCTCTTTTAAAAAGTAGTAATGTAACTAGTACATTGAGTGCCCAGGATGTCCTTGCACGAAGGTAAGTATTTTACTTCCATTCCCTTCTAGTCCTCCAAAGAAATCTTCAGAAAGATGCTGTTGTTCCCATTTTACTGATGAGGAATGTGAGCGTTAGGTTACGTAACTGGCGCAAGTTCACCAGTTAGCATTCAAATTCAGACTGATTTGAATCCAGATTCTGTGTTCTTAACTGCCACCCTGTAGGGCCTTTTCATACCCAAATGAGATCAAATAGAGAGGGAGCTCCCATTAAGGCTATTTCTATTTGCTTATTAAATACACGGATATCTTTCTGAATGGTCCTCTAAAAGGTAACAGTTACAACTTGCAAGGGGCTTGATTTCAGGTGATTTTTTTCCTCCGTTTTGGTACTCTTTTGTCTTTAACCAATTTACGGTTCTATTAAAACAATAAAGTTATGGGGCTCCTGTGTGGCTCAGTTAGTTAAGCTTCCAACTTTGGCTCAGATCATGATCTCGCAGTTCATGAGTTCAAGCCCCGCATCAGGCTCTTTGCTGACAGCTCAGAGCATGGAGCCTGCTTTGGATTCTGTGCCTCTCTCGCTCTCTCTGCCTCTCCCCTGCTCATGCTCTGTCTCTCTCAAAAATGGATAAACGATTAAAAACAAATTAAAAACAAAGTTATATTGAAACAGTTAACATTTTGCATCTATTTTACTTGATGAATATTGCAGGAAGTTAAAGTGCTCTGATTGGGGGTTTGTTTGTTCTTTAATGTTTATTTATGTATTTATTTATTGAGAGAGCAAACCCGCACTTGTACGAGCAGGGGAGGGCCAGAGAGAGAGAATCTCAAGGAGGCTTTGCGCTCTCAGTGCACAGCCAGACTTGGGGCTCAGTGTCACCAATTGGTTTGTTTTTTAATAGCTGAGGCCTGACCTGCTTTTAAATCTTTAAGCTGAAATTCACTGTGGGTCAGTGTCCTAAAACTTAGAGACATTTTCAAAAGTGATTCAAAATGACTTTAAGGAAAACGTTGTTCCTTTTGGCAAGATGCTCCATCAGTTTCACCTCCTTGTGGGTGTGGAATGAGAGACAGTGTTGTGGTAAAGAACACGTGCTCCAACACTCCAGGCTAGGCCCACCTGCTTTGAATCTCAGCTCTGCCGGTGGGAGATCTGGCATTTTGATCCTGGGCAATTTACTTTGTGCTCTGGTTCAACTGTGTGTAAAATGGAACCATTTTATACCTACCTTCCTAGAGTCACAATGAGGGTTAGAAAAGCTAATATATTAGTGTGCTTAACGCAGTGACTGGACTAAAGTAGAAAATAAGTCTAGCTGCCATTAGTTTTATTTTTTTTTAATCAGTTTTTAAAAAGATTTATTTAAGTAATCTCTACCCCGAAGGAGGGGCTTGAACTCCGTGACCCCAAGATCAAGAGTCTGCACCCTCCTACTGACTGAGCCAGCCAGGCGCCTCTCGCATTAATTTTATTAACATTATTCAGGTACACAGCTTTGATAAGAAGATGTCAGTCCAACCCCTGGCTCAGGTAACTGTTAAGTCACACGACTCTACTGATAAAACCAGCCAGCTTCTTGTCTTGATACTACCTCAGACTCAGAACTGTTTAAACCTTGTTGCAGAGCTCAGCTCAAAGCATGGCATTGGTGGCGGGTTGTGTGGAAGACACTTGGTTTCCCCATCCTTAAAGTCTTTGGTTTCCTTTCGGATTGAACCGAAAAGCAAGAAGATGGGCACCGGCACAGCCTTCTGCCGGGGCCTCCCTGTGTAGGCTTCCCTGGCTGAATGGAGCTTAGCGCTGTGCTTTGGCCAACACTGACACGGATTAGAAGAAAGAGCCTTGGGAAAGCTTGTTGTTTCATTCACTGTAAGGATATGAAGGAGCCTTCACTGTCTGCAAGTGTCCTCAGTGAGAGAAGATTCTCTCTGGTCTCCATGCCAGGAATAGGCGGATTTCCCCCCAAACAAGTTTCTAAAATCTTAGGAATTTGAAAGCTTAGAGCCTACTTGTATCCCATTTCCAGCAGCAGTTCTTGTGTTTTCTGTCCTGATATTTTTACCCAAACAGGTGCTAATGGTTGTCAGTAAAATACTGAAAGTATTTCCTTCAACAATGGCTTGCTTTCTTTTTTCTTTTTTTTAAAATATCTCTTTAATGTCTTTTTTTGCTGTTAATTTTTAATTTGCTCTTTCCGATGGCCTTTTAAAATCTAGGTTTACAAAATGACAAAAGCCTTCTGAGAAACTTTGCTTTTGAAAAATTCCAAAAAGCATCAATCTAATTATAAAGTGAGGGGAAATTTTGAACCTTGGAACTGTAGGCTTTGCAGGAGCTAGAAGGGAGGGTGTGTTATTAGTGAGAAAATAGATCATCCCTTGTCGTCTTTGTGTTATTCTCGCACAGACCTTTGTTTTCATAGAGAAGTGTGGTTTCAGATGGGTTGCTGGGGGAAAATAGATTTGTAGCATCTTATTAACAATATTTCCATT